GTATGTTTCATTATTATTAATAATAAGAAAATTAAAATCTGGTGCTGGTAATGAATTTTTTTTTTCATACCCTTTTAACTTGTCTAACAAAATTTTATAATTTGATGAATCATATTCTTTGTGTAAGTAATATCACAATCTAATTTCATCCTTTTTATCTTTTCTGCCAAATTGACCATTTAAATAAGCCGATATTTGTAATCATTACCAAATTATCATTATCCAATAAATCACAACTTTTAATATAGTGACCTAAATAGATCTTTGAACCAGATGCATTCTCTTCTGCAGTATGATAATGAAATAAGCCATCTAGATTTGTACTATTTACAGATTTTGAATCAAATTTCAAAGTAGCTTGTATTTCTCCTTTGCTACTTACTTTCTACTTCACTAATGATCCTTCATATGATTGTGTTTCCACTATCCTAGTCCCATCATTATTTCCTTTATAAATCTTTGCAATATCTCCTCCATTTGATATTTGTTAGATAGGAATCTTATTTCATTATAATCTTTTAATTTTCCTAAATATTTGATCCACTGTTTTTCAGAAATTTTTTGAAACCATAAATATTTATCTGACATATAATATATTTTTTCATCCATCAATGTTTTAAATTCTTCTTTGGGAATATTTAATATTGTCAAAGTTTCTTTATCTAAAAGCTCTTTAAACAGATTTGAAATAGATTTATCATCGATGACATGTTGAAGATAATAAGTGTCTCTTATTTCAATATTATCATCATCAAACAATAAAATCAATAACTCTTCCAACAAATAAGATAAATTTGAAATGATGCAACCGTTTTTTAAATTGACCTATTAATCAATAGTAATTATATAAAGATTAGTAAATAATACTGTTATTGTTATTTAGTAAACTCGAAATATTAATGATTGTATCTGATATTCAGATTTTAATTTCAGTGATATATAAATTTAAAGAACTTACATTGTGATAAAAGCAATGAGTATTCGGTCAAATAAATGTAAATAAAGCTTTTATCAAAATTATGATATACCACAAGTAATGTGGAATTTTTATTAAAAGTGCAAAGAATTTTTCAATAAAAGTGAGTTGTCTATCCTAATTGATACTGTTTTTCGAATGATATTCCATTGTGTTAATGACCAACATTTGTTAATAAGAAATATCTTTCTTTTGTCATTTATATGACAAAATTTAATATATTTAAATGCACCACAACAAATTAAATTATTAATCTTTCATTTTTGTGAGTTTTTGAATACAAGTTAAAAATATTAATATAGTAACATTCAAAATCGTGTATAACTGTTAAAAAGTCTCCACTATTATAGAATCTACATTCTTCCATTATCAAAAGTTGGTGTGGGTATAATTTCACTTCTATTTTCTTTTCCATTTTAATATCAATGACCTCTTTAAAAAGAATAAATTATTGAAAATTAGGTTTAAATATTGTAAATAATGTTAATTATTTTATAAATTTTTACCAACCAATGTTTCTGTGAACCCTATTAAAAGGTTCTATTATCCGTATTGTGACAAGTTTATTATTTGAAACTGCAATTAAATCTGGCCAATTGAATGTATCGATAAGGTCCTTAACATTAACTAAACAATCAAACTCGAATAAATTAAGCTCATTTTCTGCTTCTAGTACAGGTTCATCTTTAAGTTGCTATCCACAAGTTGAATCATCAATGCTACTCCATGTCGCTACGTACTTGCCATTTGGTGATAACAAAAGTTTTTTTATTTCCTTGCTATTGTGTGTTTTAGTTGGTTCGGATTTTCAGACTTTTGTTTAGGGTTTATTTCTATTATTGTTTGCGAAGATTCACCTTCGTTACTCATTTTTGAAAATAAAATCTATTGTTTTGCGCACAATTTAATTCTTTAACAAATTATAGCTTAGAGTACTATTAATGCGCAGTGTTTACATCAGCTGAGTTGAAGAGTTATTACAACTTAGCCAATTTAAACAACTTAGTTGGCTAACACTGAGGCCTAAAGCTTACTAATTTAAAAAAAAGCACAAACACTAAGTATAAATTTCGGGCTTAGATGTAATGCTCGATATTAAAGCTCAATGCACTTTATATAATTTGAGAAAATTCTAAAAATTTTCTCATATGTAATTGCTTATATAAATCAGGTTTATTTTACTTAAAACACAGACATAGTATAATCGAAAGAACAAACAAATTATTAAACCGGTTATACTGACTACATAATTACATATTTACTGAAATTTTTTGTTTTATATTCACAGGTTTGCTGTAAGGACTACATACATGTTAGTGGTGTCGAGCAAAACTTGTAAGAAATATTTCTATCTCATTTGTGTTGATTTAATGAGAGTAAAAATTTAATTATTGTTGTGGCTGAAGCTAGAACAAATAAAGCTGAAAATGAATAAAGCTGAAATTAGGGACCTCATTCTAAAAATATAAATTTCATCAAAATCCATTTATACTCTTTTATTATCAAAACTCATCCTAAAACCTAAATATTAAAAAAATACACTTCAATAATTTTTGAAATTTTCCAGCTTCAATCGTAACAATAATTAAATTTATCTGGTAGTAATACTTTTTTTAAAAATATATTTATGTAAAAGTAACTTTTATAGAGCTTCAATTAAGGTTATTAATTAATATTTAAAAAATATAATGTGCTGAAAATTAATTTTTACAATTTGGAATTACTGTGAATATTTACCAATTGTTTAAAAAATTTGAATCTTTGATTAATAAATTAAAATTGAGAATTAAATTTTTAATTAAATAATGTAATTGTTTAAAAAAAATCTGAATTGTTCACTCCGAAAACAATTCGTATATTGATTTAAAACTTATTTTGTAAGATTTTTAAGATTTTCTTATTAGCATATTACGTTTTTCTTAAATTCGTAAAAAGTGAAGGTACCAATTTAAGTTTATTCTATCAAGGTTTTTCTATTTTAGTTTAGTATAAAAAACAGAAAAATAAAAATTAAGACTTGATTGTACGTATATTCATATGGAATGTTTGTTCATAAAAAAAAAATCAGACACATTTCCAAGAAAGGGATGTTAAGTGAACCGGTTCGGTCCAAAAATATGTCCTATAATCTTGTGATCTCAAGGCCATCTAATTGGCTAGTTTACGCCGATCTAAATGTGATTACGCATAATAATCCATGTAAATACACAGTACTCATTCACTGATATGCTTTCCATATGAGCTAGAAGGGTAATAAAATTGTACTCGACTGTAGCTTTTCCTTATTATGAAAAGGAAATATTCATATGATAACTGCAAATCTCATTCTTTTTAATTACACCTTTCAAGAATTTATTTTTGAATCTTGAATCTAGAATCTGGCTCATTTTATTATTAATAATAAAGTATTTGAATAAAATGGCTAAACCAGCATATTCTTTCAAAATGCAAGCAAAATTCTCTTATAGTAAATCTTTGAGGAAGGATGCGAATATTATATGTTAAAAATTTTAACGTGTAAAATTTATTGGTGAATTATGTCAAAAAGAAGAACTAAAATATTCTTTAGTAACATCAAAAATCATTACATTGAAATTCATTTGTGTATAGTTTAAATTGCACAATATTTCATTTAAGAGATCTCTATTGTCTAATGTTTAATATTTTATGTTCTTATATTAATATGAAACTAATACTGAAAAACTTTTTTGTGATTTACAAAAAAAAAAAGTTTAAAAGTTTTATTTATAAAAATAAAACAACATTATCACATGTGACATAAAAATTATTTAACTGTTTTTAGGTATTTTCAAATCCTCCATCATATACTTATGCTATCCTACGACTTATTAAAAGTCTTATTAGTGATACATCTATTTATCATATATAAGCTAATTAATCCTACTCACTATTCATATATTTCATTGGGATACATATTTCTTCACCAACATGTCTATTTCGTCGACACTAAATTTACTGACAATTATTTCGCGACAAACTTAATTTGCCGAAAAGTTTATTTTGTCAACACTAAATTCACCGACAATTAATTTATCAACAAAATCAATTTGCTAAAAAGTTTATTTTGTCGACAGTACAACTCACCGACAATTACTTCACCGAAAAGCTTAATTCACCGAAAAGTTCATTTTGTCGACAATATGTTTCACTGACAATTAATTCACCAAAAGTTCATTTTGTAGACTGTATGATTCATCTACAATTACTCCACTGATAGCTTATTTCACCGACAATTAAAAAGCAAATTATTTTATGCAAGAAAAAAAATCAAGGTTAGTAAAGGTTGAAGCGAAGCGAACTATGTAAAATAAAAAAAGCGAAGCTTGACCTTAATTATGCAAATATATTATGAAGACCTTTTATAAAAAAAAAGTCAGGATTAGTAAAATATGAAGTGAACTATTTATGTGAAAATAAGAAAAGCGAAGCCTGACCTTAATTATGCAAGTACATTAAGCTTGATTTTTTTTCCACATGAAATGATTTGCTTTTTACTTGTCAGTGAAATAAGCTGTCAGTGGAGTAATTGTAGGTAAATCGTACAGTCTACAAAATGAGCTTTCGGTGAATTAATTTTAGGTGAAACATATTGTCGACAAAATAAGCTTTTCAGGAAATTAAGCTTTTCAGTGAAGTAATTGTTGGTGAGTTGTACTGTCAACGAAATAAACTTTTCAGTGAATTAATTTTGTCGACGAATTAATTGTTGGTGAATTTAGTGTTGACAAATAAACTTTTTGGTGAATTAATTTTGTTGGCGAAATAATTATTAGTGAATTTAATGTTGATGATATAGACATATCGGCGAGGCGATTTTGGTGAAGAGATGTGTCTATGAAAGGAGCGTTGGTGAATAGAGCTGACCCGATTTCAATAATATTGTATATATCATTTATTCCCTTATTTTTATGTTTTTCATATTTTCCACTTTTCTACATTTTACGTATCACCTGAAACCTATTTTTGGTAAGTGATCTTCATAGCCTTCTTTGCCATTTTTACTTCACGTGCTCCCAGGGTACAATTCTGAGGTTCGCACTATATAGTTATCAATAATAGTGGTCTTTAATTCTCCATCATCATCTAGGTTTTCTTCCTTTTCTTTTAACGCTGCCAAATCTTCTTCATATAATCTCCTGAATTTATCAATTTAGCTCATAATATTTATTGAAGACGGTATAATAATTGAAGATTTCCCAGAAGGAAGTTGTGCAACTTCTCTTTTCGAGGGGTAAAGGTTTGATTTTCTTTAAGGTACCTTCACCAGAAATTTGAAAATATCTAATATGAGAAAGACAGTTTTGAATTGTAGCTCTAAAGACCCTTGTACATTCTTTAAGATTAGATGGTAGATTCGGCATTTCCATAAAATAAGTTTATCCCATACTTCAGATTCAAAAATTTGTAATTTTTCGTTCTTTAAAAGAGAAATTAAAGCATTTTCTTGAAGTGTGGCGAAATCTTCAGAGATAAAAATCATACTTGGATGTTTTGCAGAAAAGTTGTTATAAAATTTCTGTAGCGCTTTAAAATTTTCGTAACTGATAAAAAGAAGCCAAGATGCATTAATATCGATAAGAAGAAATTGAAAATGTTTGACTAATTCTGAGAACATAAGTTCATTAAAATATATCAATAGATTAAATATAGTTGGGGAATATAAAACGTTAAGTCGGTGTAGATAGGAACCAAAATTATCGAGAAAGGTAGAAAACAACTATCATTCAATAAATAATGGAATCATAAAAGCAATGCTTAATAAAGTTCCATTTATTGAGCCGGCAAAATCAGATGTATCGGATACTGTGGTAGATAGGGAGTTCAAGAAAGTAGCTTTCCAGATATGGAGTATACAAAGGGTTATAAATATTATAGAGGTTGAATATAAGAAATGGCACATCAAGATGATTACGAGCTAGTTCATCAGCTTTGTTATTGAATATATTGTTCTGGTGTGCTTTAACTTTATGAAAA